GTAAACAAAAACCTACGTTTAAGAACAATAACAAAAATATAGCTGTGCCTCCTTTTTGTAAGAATTCTTTAAAAATGGAGACCTGTTTTGTGTGTTTCTGTATCAGTTCTGGTAAAGGAGCATATTACTCCCTGTTGGGAATACCCTGGATTTCTCATCACTAGATCTTCAGTAAGTTTCTTCAGTCATCTTTTGCACTCATCCCTTCTGGAAGTGGGGCAACCGGGTCTGCTCTGAACAAAAGTCAGTTCCTCCTTTGTCTCTGCATCCCTTCTTCTCTGCTCACTGTGGAATCTCACATGGACTGTGTGCAGTCTTGAACCTCCTCTTTTCTTGGGGATTCTTCTCATTGGCATTTAAACCTTGCTTTATAAAGGCCAGTTTTCCTCTAAGGTTAGGCTGTTGGCATCAGGATGAGCTGGACATTCAGGTTCCTAGATGTAACCCCAGACTGGCTAAATCAGAAAGGGATGGGGAGGAATTGGGGAATCTGTATTTTTCACAAGCAGATCAATGTTTAGGCACCTTTCCTGTAAACTCTCCTATCTGAGAAACAAGCCAGCATACAAATATCCCTGGATCCTACATGTCCTGTAGTTCTCATTTCTTTACAGCAAGTTTTCTGAAGAGCTCCCTGTACTCATCACTGTAGCTTTACTTCTCACGTACTTGTCTAGCAAGCTTCCATTCTTTAATCATGTACCCTATCAGTAAAATGTTTGAGCATAGCCTTTCAATATATATTTTTGTTTATAAATTATATACATGTACTATTATGCCATTATACTGTATCGGGAAACAACGTCAACAGAAGCTATTGAGTAAATGTTTTTAATTTTTAAAAATGTATTAATATATCATTGATGTAAGGGGCGCCTGGGTGCTTCAGTTGGTTAAATGTCTGCCTTTGGCTCAGGTCATGATCCCAGAGTCCTGGGATAAAGCCCCACATCAGGCTCCCTGCTCAGCGGGGAGTCTGCTTCTCCCTCTGCCTCTCCTCCCCGCTTGTGTTCTCTCAAATAAATAAATAAATTTTTAAAATAAAGATAATCACAGTATTATACTCAAAAGACCTTCAGAACATAATTTAGGATGATGAGATTTCTTTTTTTTTTTAAGATTTTATTTTTAAGTAATCACACTCAACTCAGGGCTTGAACTCACAACCCCAGGATCAAGAACTGCACGCTCCATCAACTGAGCCAGCCAAGTGCCTCCAGTCTTTATAATCTTTTACAGCTAGGTTGAGGGTTCATTAGTGAAAACTATATAACATAATCTATAAATTCACTTAGCCAGGCACATATGAATCGCAAAACCTTGTAATATGGTAAGAGTAGAAGTAGGAGTGAACATGCCAGTTGTTACCTCCCTCTGTACTTTGGTCCTTTCTCTCCTCAGGCTAGCTTGCTAGCCACTGATCACCCAAATACTAAATGTTATTATAACTTAATTGCTTTATTTTTTGGCGAAAAAAAAACCAAATAGGAGTTCTAATATTTTCTGTACACTTTCCAGTAGACCATTTTGTGCAGCTGCTTTGGTACTCTTAGGCCACTTGGGGACACAGTTTCACAACTAAGTTTTTTACAACTTGTTTTCCTTATTAACACTATTAGAAATCTTCCTAAGATCATCAAAAATCTCCATGCTGCTAAATTTAATATACTTACTTTCAGTTCATTTTTACTTGACCGTTCATCATCTTTAGCTCAATCATTTCCTGGTTTTTCTTCTACCATAAGTGGTTCAACCATTGACCCAGTTAGTTGCTCACTCAAAATCCACGGATGACTAATGTATTTTTCTACTTTTCTAACTGCCCCGACTCCACAGTTCAGTCACCAGGACTTGTTGATCCTATTTCCTAAGTTCTTTTTACACTTTACTTCTACTAAAGCCACCAGCTCTTTCAGATTTCTGCAGTTGGCTTCCATTGGATCATCTGTAACCTCCTTTCTCTAGCTACAGCTAGAGTGATATTCTGAAAATATAAATCTGATGGTTTTACTCCCTTGCTTAAGTGTCTTTAATAGCTTCCATTACAATGGAAAGAGACCAGAAAGATCTAGCCATTTATCAACTCAGCTTTATCCTCAGCTTTCTCCGCCATTTCCCCTTGGTTCTCCATGCTCTCAACACCCTGATTTTCTCCATGATCCTACATAATTTCCTAAGCATGTTCCCATAAACATACTCCCCAGCTACCTGTATGCTGTTCCTTCCTATAGGATTAGCTTTCCCTTTCCTATTAGCTTCTTATCCTTAGTACTTTGCCACAAATATAAAAAATCTTTCTTCAGGGAATTCTAGGTTCAGAATCCCTGTTGTACAGTGTCACTATCCTCTATATTTGCTTACTCTTCTTACACCTATGAATAAGTTGTCTAACTTACCATTATATCCCAGTAACTAGCAAATAATAAAGGCTCATTAAATATTTGAGTAAATGAACATTGTTGTACCAGTATTAGTTTCTGTATCCATAGACTACTTTGTGAGGATGATATCCTTGACTATTTTGGTCTCCATTATTTTTCCAGTATGTAACACATACACACACACACAAATATTTGTTGACTTAATAATGGTGGTTTTGTCATTATTTAATGCCTTTCCCTCCCTTAGACAATAAAGTGGTCGTGTCTTTCTTATGCACCTATCCCCAGTGCTTTATATATATGTTATTAAAAAATCCTGGATAATGTCAGGGAGTATTTGATAATGGTTTTTATTTTTTAAATTAATCTATGTCTACTTTTTTAATATACACATTTAATCCATTCGTATTTACCATAATTGCTAATATGTTTGAATTTATTTCTGACATCTTATTTTGTGTTGCCTGTGTCCTTTTGTTTTTTTCCCTTTTTCCCATCTTTGTTTTATTTTGAGAACAGTTTTCTCCCGTTATTTTCCCTTTAAAAGTTAGAAAGTTAAATATTTTCTTTTTTAGTCTTCTATTATTGCACTTAAATTTTTAATGCAAATATTTACTTTTATACTTTTTTACTAATATAATAAGACAGGAACCTCAGAAAGTTTTTACTCTTTTTCTGCTCCCTTCCTTGCTACCTTCTTTATGAGAAAATTTGAGATTTTGCTTTTCAATTATGATTATTTTTAATAATCAGAACTTAGGTTTTACTAGTTTATTTTTTTAACTCACTCCTGCTTTTATCTCAGTTTCTACTCCTGGGTGATCTGTTTATTTACTTTGATTATCTTATATTTTGAGGGGACAATAACTTTAAGAATTCTTTTAGATAAGATTTAGGAGTGATACACTTCTGTACTGCTACATATCAGAAAACAGATTTATTCTGCCCTCCTGTGTGATTAGTTTGGCTGGGTAGGAATCCTGTGTTCCCAGTCTTTTTCCCTCAGAATTTCAAAGATTTTGCTTTATTGTTTCTAATGAGATGTCTGATTCATAAAAGGCTTTTGGAATTTTGTTTTTCTACTTACCTGTTATGAAATGTCACTATTTTATGCCCTGTTTTATCCCCATTCATACTGGCTCTTTCTTCAACTCTCAGAAATTGGTTTCCATTATTTCTTTGAGAAGTTTATCTTTTCTACTGTTTCTACTTTACTTTCTGGACTTCCTGTCAGCTGGATTTGGAAACGTTTGGATTTATCTTCAGTGTCTATTTAGGTTTTTTTTGTGCCACGTTCTCAGAAAATGTCTTGGCTCAGTCTTCTAATCACTCTTTAGCTATGTTTATTCTTCGGTTTGACACCATGTGTACTTTCTTATTTCACTGTTTAAATTTTTTAATTTCCAAGATCCATGGTTGTCTTTCTCTTACTGTATACTGTCGAATCTCTGAAGACAGACTTGCTGCTATGGCTACAGGGTTAGTTCTTCTGATGTTGATTGTAGTTTATCTTTGCAACAGTATGGGTTGTTGCAGATCCAGTGAGTCTGAGAGCTCCTGCTAGCCTATCTGTGAATGCAGCATCTGCTTCTAGCAACTGTGGGGAGGGGTAGAACATGCTACAAGATGGTCTGTACCAGAAGCAACTGTTCGGAGCTTGGATGTTTCTCTTTCCTTTTGGGAATCTAAGCAGCTCCCTCACTTCTCAGAAGCATAGTTCTTTGTTGAGAAGGAATGATGGGGTGGGGGCAGGGGGAAGAGGTCTAACTATTCCTCCTGCAGAGCCCAGCCAGTGTCACTAATGTTTGTTCCAAGGCCCTTTTCTGTCTGGATCCTGTGGCTCCTCTGCTCTTGGGATTATTTTGAAAACTTTAGTTTGTATAACCACTCTTTTTTTTGGGGGGGGGCATATTGCCATAGTTTTTTCCTTTAATCCATTTGTATCTGTTTTTCCTCTTTCAGGAATTTCTCAAAATTCCTGATCCCTTAAGAGTACTCCTCCTTTGCTAATGCCATATGGAGTTTTGTTTTGTTTTTTGTTTTAATTATGTTACTTGCAGGGATTTGAACTGGAAAGGCTGTCAGATGCATTGCTCAGAGCACTATTTCTTTTTTTTTTTTTTAAGATTTATTTATTTTAGAGAGCACTCAGGTGCACATGAGCCGGGGGAGGGGCCAAAGGAGAGGGAGAGATCATGCAGACTCCCTGCTGAGCATGGAGCCCAACTCAGGGCTTGATCCCAGGACTCCACAGTCATTACTGGAGCCAAAAAAATGACCTGAGCCAAAATGAAGAGTCAGCCACTTAACCAACTGGGCCACCCAGGCGCCCCTCAGTGCACTATCTTGATCCAAACTTGTAATCAAGAATCTAGCATATCTCTGTTTAAATATGTCCTCAATAATATATTCAGAGAAATAGAATAGATATATCTTTGACTGTGACACACACATGGGTATCTCCTAAAACTAATATTGTATAGCTTTTTTGAGTATTATTATATTTCAGTGAATCCATACATTCCTCTTTATTTATGAAATCATAGAACCACCATTTTCGGTTATGTGTTGTTTTTGTAGCATATGGAGAAAAGCTAACCAATATTTTTTTTCTATTAGGTTACTACTGATTCAGTCATTCTAAAAGTTCTCCGGTCCAACATTCAGCATGTGCTGGTCTATGAGAACCTTGCTCTCCAGGAGAAAGCACTGGCTTGTATTCCAGTCCAAGAACTAAAAAGGAGATCTCAAGAAAAGTTATCTAGAGCTAGAAAATTGGATAAAGGTAGTGGCTTTATATAACCATTCATTGCTAAATATACATCATTGCTAAAGACAAACACTGAAATGCTGCCTTTTGCTGTATACATCATAAAATTCTAATCTATTTCTATTTTGATTTTTAAGAAGTGCAACAGTAGTAAAATTTTACTGCATGTACCTCAGACACATCTATTAACACATCTTTTTTTTTTTTAAACCTCAGTATGTGTTTGCAGTTTAATCATTGGTATATGAGTTTTTTTAGGTATAATAGAACTTAAGTCTGTGGAACATATGATAGTATTATTAGTGAATTTTAATGTGAATTAGAATCTACGTTCAAGATTAATCCATATGATTAGACCATTGATTAATTTTGGCTAATAAAGATAGTATTTACTGGTGTATGGTTCTTCCTCACCCACTGTTGTCCACTGCCTAGGAATAAATTCAGCTCTGCCACTTTACTGTGCATTACTAAGCAAGTAATTTGATCTCTATGCCTCAGTATCTTCATTTGAAAATAGGATGATTTTTAAAAATAGGTGAAATAGTACATGTAAATGGCTCAGAACAATACCTACCACATTCATCAACCAATAATTATTTGTGTGTTATTATTAATGGTCTTAAGATTTTAGTTGTTAAATTTTTCCAATGGTAGCATTTTTACTTTGAGTTTTTATGTAATTAGCTTTTATCTAATTCATTTCTTAATACTATATTTTCTAGGGGACTATGTAATTTTTCTGGTGGTTACCTTAGTTTGCAATAAATGTTTTAACTGAGTCCACCTTCAAAAACACTATTCTGCTTCATGTATGGTGCAGATACCTTTTAACAGAATCATCCCAATTCTTCCCTCCCATCCTTATAACATTGCTGTCATATGCTATAATCACCCAGTACGTTGCTATTGTTATTATTTAAAGAAGTTACTTTTTACGCCAAGAATAAGAAAACAAAAGATTCTCTTTTACTTTCATATATTCCTTTTCTGATGCTTCCTTTCTGTAGATCCAAGTTTCTGATCTATATCATTTTCCCTCTTCCTAAAGAACTTCTTTTAATATTTCGTTCAGGGCAGATCTGCTAGAGATGAATTCCCTCAATTTTTCATTGCCTGAGAAACCCTTAATTTTTTCTTCACTTTTGAAGGATAATTTCCCTGGGATATAGAATTCTGGGTTGGTGAGGTTTTTCTTTCAATAACACTTTAAATATTTTACCCTCCTGTCTTCTTGCCTGCATTGTTTATGACAAGAAGTCTGCTATAATTCCCATCTTTATTCCTGTTTAGGTAAGGTTTCCCCCATATCCCCTCAACTTACTCCCCATCCCCAGCTTTATTCAAGATTATCTCTGTCTTTGGTTTTCTACAGTTTGAATATGACATGCCTAGGTATAGTTTCTTGGTTGGTGTTTTTTGAACTTCCTAGATCTGTGGTTTGGAATCTCATTAATTTTGGAAAATTCTTGACCATTATTGCTTCAGATACTTCTTTTGTTTCTTCCTCTCTTTTCCTTCTGTATTCCAAAATGAATGTATCGTATTTTACTTTTATCTGTCTCTGCCTCAATTTCCCACAGTTCTTAGATGTTCTGGTCCATTTTGAGATTCTCCTGCAGTTCTGTGCCTTTTTTTTTTTTCCTCTTTGATTTTCAGTTTAGGAAGTTTCTGTTAACCTGTCTTCAAGCTCACAGACTCTGGCCTTGGCTGTGTCCCATCTACTGATGAGCCCATGAAAGGCATTCTGTTACAGTGTTTTTGATTTCTAGCATTTCCTCTAGATTTTTTTAAAGCTTCTAAAGAAACAAAAAAAATCTATTTATGTTATCCATCTGTCTTACATGTTGTTTACTTTTTTCATGAGAGCACCTAATATATTAATCAGAGTTACTTTAAATTCTTTGTTTGTTAATTCCAAAATCTGGGTGGTTCTGATACTTGCTTTATCACTTCAGACTGATTTTTCTTGCCTTTTAACACATCTTGTATTTGTTTGTTGGAAGTTAGACATGATGCATTGGCTAGTAGGAGCTGAGGTGAATAGGCCCTTTATGTAAGGTCTTATGTCCATTTAACAAGGAGTTGGGCTATGTTTAATGTTAGTTGTAGGTGTCAGAACCTTCAGACTTGCTCTGGTATTCTTCTTGTCTCCCCTGTTGTCTTTGGGCTTTTCTAAAAACTCCTTAGATACAGTCTGCATCTTTTAGTAGACTCCATTGTTGTTACACCAGAGCCTTGTTGGTGTAGTGGTAAGGTACGGGGGAGTAGAAGCCCCCTGTAATCTGATGATTAAGTCTCAGTGCTTTAGTGGGCCTGTATCCTCAGGCCTGTGACCTTCCCAAGTCTTTCTTAACTTTTTCCCCCCATAGACGAGATAGGAAGACTAGAAGTGGCTAGGGTCAGGGAAGTTAGTTCCCTTTCCCCACTTCAGAAAAGGCTCTGGTAAAATCTTTTTCCCTGAAGAGTAGGCCTTTATTGTAAAGAACGTTCTGGGCATACTTTGCAATTCTTAATCTTCTCCTCTTCTTTTCAGAGCTATGAGATCTTTTTTGGTTCTTCACCAAGAAAACCTAGTGGGATTCTTGGAGGGAAAACCCACAAAAGTGTTAGGAACCCCTCCTAAGATTGTGTTTCTTACTCAAGCTAGTCCATATTCAGCCTCCAGCAATTTGTTGAAATTATCATTTAAGTGTTTTTACCAATTTATGACTCCAGTGGCTTCTGTTCCATGTAGCAGATGGCTGGTTGTGATTCTGTGTATTTGGCTAAGATTCTCTGTATTTGTCTCGTCTCTCCAGATTTCAGGGTGACAATTTGCCCTGTGAATTCTAAGGAGCTCAAGAAAAGTCAATGATTTTGGTTTGTTCAGTTTTTTGTTTTCATAACGATGGGAATGACAACTCTAAGCTCTTTACATGTCAGAGCTAAAACCAGAAGTCTCTCTGAGGGATTAATTATGTATCTCTTTTCCTTTTTTTAATCATTTAATCACTTCTTACATATGTTGTTTAGGTATTTTGCTGCCCATTGTATTTTGGTAGTTTTGTTTTTATTATAATATTATACTATGTCATTTTCTTGTATTTGAAGACCATTCTGGAGCTTAGACTTAATTCAGCAACATTGCTGTGAGACCTTGAGACAGTTCTTCATCTTCTTGGATTAACAGTTTTTTTACAGTTTATGAAATAAGAATGCTTATTAACGTGATCACAAAGGCCCTGTCCACATTAAAGTACTGTGTTCCTTCAGACGATCCCTGACATAAATGCCTGTTTAACAGGTACTTACCGAAGCATGTTTTATGTGTGAGTCAGTCATTCAGCTGAGTCCCACAGAGGAGACACAATTAGCAGTGTCCCTGTTGACATTTGCCTGGCATTTTTTTTCCCCTCTAATTATAAAGGTAATACATGGCTTTTTTTTTTTTGGTAGAAAATTTGGAAAATAGGGGTAAGATAAGCCATCTATAACTTCATTCATAGTATGACTTACGAGATTTGTCTATATATTCTTTCACACTTAAAATTTAAAAGCAGTATAATGGAGTTTTAATTTAAGTAGGAAGGAAAGAACATCAGGTTGGTAGAATGGTATTATGAAAATCAGTAAAAGACTGAGCTTTTTTTTTTTTTTAAAGGTTATAAAGGATGAGTTGGAATAGTAACCTAAGATGCCAAAGGACTTATTAAGGCAGGGATTGGGGATATTGTTCCAAATGTAGTTAACAGGATGTGTGGAGGCAGAAAAGTTAGATTCTATACGGGGAACAATGAATAATGAAATCTGGCTGTGTGTAGTGTAAGGAGTGGGTAAAACAGTAGTGAGAGATCAAGTAGACTGAGATCATATTTTGGTTGACATTGAATTTCAGGCAGAGAAATGTATACTGAATTTATCTTATATTTTTAATCTTTCCAAAAAGAACTAGAGGTAAAATGGAACAAAGAATACTTCTAACAAAGTTTTAAAATAGAAAATAAGGACCAAGGAAATTAGGAGGATGTACATGTCTTAGTTGTAAGGCTAACATTACAATCTTAGTATGATTGAACATAGAGCAAAAGTGTTATGTAATCTATTCATTAGCAAGGAGGAAATAAAGCGTTCGCTCAGGAAAGTCAAGTATTCTTTGGTTACTTAATTCAGCAGCATTAACCATTGAAGCTTTAAGCAAGTGAGTGACATCAGAGGTGTGCTTAAGGAAGATTGATCTAGGAAAACCTTGTAAGATGAACAAGAATAAGAGAGTGCAAGGAGAGAACAGTTGAAACACAGTAGTAATAGAGAGGAATAGGGTGAACAGGGTATTGTGACAGCAGGGGAGAAAATGGATGTGAGTTATTGGGGTGATAGAATACATATTGTTTGCAGTTGATGAGTACATTTGATGTGACAAGGCATCGTGTATGCTTAAGGAAAATGTCAAGGAGGACTTTCCAGTTTTGAATTCAGGCAACTAGAAGATTAGAGGAGTCAATAGGAACAGGCTTTGAAGGGAAATGTTTTAAAGTAACTGCTGGCCATTATCTGGACCAGGTGAAAATCTAGGTCTGGAATTCTGTTAAGAAGTACACTTTAGGGTGATAGGTAAAACTGTGCAAGTAAATGAGATTTCCCAGAATGAAAAGGCAAGGGGGAAAGGGAGGATTGCAAAGGTTCTAGAAAACAGGACGGTACTAGTACTAAATACATGTAGGTATTTATATTTAAATTAAGTTTTAAAAAATTAAAAATCCAGTTCTTTAGTTACAGTCAACACATTTTAAGTACTTATTAACCACAAGTGACTTAGTGGCAACCCTATTGGACAGTGTGCATATGAATTATCTCCATTATTGCTGAAAGTTCTATTGGATGGTACTGTTCCACAAAAACAGTAGGATACTGAAAGAGTTACAGTCGTAAGTAGAGGAAATTCAAATATATAGTGAAATAAGTGGTATTATAGACATAATGAATGGATCATTGAGGGTTAGACTGGGCTGTGAGTAATGGGATTTGTGACCCCAATGGCTTAGGATTTATTTTCTCATGTAAGAAATTATTGCGGTAGGCAGTCTGATGCTATTGGTAAGCTCTGAAACATTATCAGAGGCCTAGGTCCCTTCTGTCTTTTGGCTCTGGCATACATGGTTTCCATTCTGCAGGTTACATCTCATAGTCTAAGATGGCTGCTAAAGCTCCAGCCACTATATCTGCAGACCAGGCATCAGGAAGACGAAAGGGAGAAAAAGCAAAATGGAACTACTGAGCCTGTTCTCTTGAAGCAGCCTTCTTTGGACTCTCACCCAAATTTAGTCAATCTTTAGTCTTTTAGCTGATGCATTGCCATCCCAAATAAATTAGAATTCTGTAAATAAAGTACTGGCTTTTGGATATTGTGTGGCAGCCAGGTCCCTCTGCCCCAGTGACTATCTGGCTCTGAGATGATGACAAAGCCTCATTTGTCCAGGTTGGTGATTTTCTCTCATTCATGATTGTGTTTTGGTTTTTTTTTGGTTTTTTGTTGTTGTTTTTTTTTCTTTTCATTTTCTCCCCAAGTTAAATCTTACTCTGAGTTTCTAAACTAGGAAAGAGTATTCTGGTTTGTAACAGAAGTGAGGACCTAGGAACCCTACCCACTGAGATACCTTTAGAGATAGTTGAGGCTCAGAGAAGCATGATTCCATAGCTCTGGCTTGGAAGATTTGTCATGATTGAGTGTTCCAGATATAGGGGAAACACCTTAACCCTGTCGTTTTGGGAAAGTGAAACAAAATATATGTTGGCCTACTAAATTGAATATGAAGACGTGGGAGGAAGAATGTTGAGTACTAAGGTGTGTCAAAGGACGAGGCTACCTGTACTGATGTTTTTACAGATTTTCTTCTCATTCCCTCTTTTGCACACTAATGGTCTGTGATTTTCATAGAATGGAGTTAAGACCTACACTTGTTAATTTTATCTTTGTTACTGAAAAGTTATGAGAAATCTGTATTTTTGAAGATGCTAAATGTATTAATCTGAAGTCTTGATTATAATTTTAAAATGTACTCTCCACACTCTAATATATTCTCCATATTCTCACAGAAATTTAGTATCTTAAAAAAACAAATAAAAAAGAATTCAGCATCTAAGTCCAGCCTCTCTTTAAGCCCCGTATCTCTGAGCTTTCTGAGCTCTTGTCCTCTCTGGACAGGATTCCACTTGCATTTCTCTGAGCCATAATTCAGGACATTGCTTGATCAAGGAGCACTGACCCTCAGGTGGGCCTCACTCTCCGTGCAATAGTCCTCCTTCTAACTGGGAGGCTGCTGCTCTATACCTGGAGTACATATAACACAGAAGCACAGGGATGCTGTCTTCCTTTCCCTTCTTTTCCCAATTTGATAATGACTATTTGGTGAACAGTATTAATTCTAGTTAATATTATGAGGTTTCTTTGTTTAGTCCTTCCATCATTCATTCAGATACATACTGAGCACCTATTGTGTGACAAACACAGCTCAAGGTCCCTACTGTCATGGGGTGAGACAGACTACAAAACCCCAAATACTCAAATAGAATGGGTAGATAAGTGCTGGGAAGACAAACAAGTCAGGTTAACAGTACAGAGAGTGCCTAGAAAGATGCTTTTTCGTATAGGGTTGTCAGAAAAGGCTTCTCTGGAAAGCAGTGACTTCCATTCCAGGTAGAGGGCACCAGCAACTGCAAAGGCTCCCCGAGGTGAGAGTGAGCTTGGCGCATTGAAAGGATGACAAGGAGGACCTGATGCCTGTAGCAGAATAAACAAGACAGAGGTCAGAAAAGTAAAGGGGGTACATTAGTTTCCTCTGTCTGCTGTAACAAATTATCACAAACTTGGTGACCTAAAATAACAGAAATTTATTGACTCCTGGTTCTGGAAGCCAGAGGCCATAATCAGTGTCACTGGGGCCACGATATCTCTCTCTGTTCTGCTGTCTCATCGCCTTCTCTGTGTGTGTGTGTAAAATCTCCCTCTGCTCCCCTCTCAGAAGGATAGTATGCATTTAGGGTCCACTCAAATAATCCAGTATAATCCCCCCATCTCCAGGTCCTTAACTTCATCATATCTTCAAAGACCTTTTTTTTTTTTCTTTTGCTGTATCTGGTAACAGTTTTAGACTCCAGGGGTTAGAATGTGGGTATCTTTTGGTGGACCGTTGTTCAGCCTACCAGAGGAGACCAGTTGTGATAACAAAGAGTAAGAGTAGGGACTTTGAATTGTATCCTGAGTGAGATGGGAACCTCATTGGAGGGTTTTGAGTGATATAATCTACCTTGCATTTTTAAAAAGATTACTCTGCTTTAGACACTTGATGGAGAAGAACGGTGGCAGTGCTGTATTACTAAAGTTCATTTTTAATTGAATACAAACTTTCATATTATATGAGAAAAGCTAAAATCTCCCTGTCTGTCCTACACCTCTTCCGTAGGTAACAGCTATTATCATGTGATACGTTCCTTTTCATATCTTCTCCTATGTATTTATATCCATAAATAATTACCTGAAAAAATAGTTTAAGTTGTATGGGTTTACATAAAATTTATCATCCCATATATATTGAGTTTCTTGGTGTTTTTCATTTACTAACTTGTCTTAGAAATCTTTTTAACCATAGTGTTCTATAGTATGCATATACTAATATTTATACAGTTTCCTATTGATAGACATTGAGATTATTTACCATTTTTCTCTATTCTAAATGCTCCTGCAGTGAGAATTCTTGTAAAGCATGCCTTATGGTGTATATGCACAAGTATTTCTCTGAGATAAATATAAAAATGTCAAGGGTGTGTGACTTAACACTGTAAAGGATCCTCTCAAGTAAATTGCCTTTCAGTTCACATCAGAAGTGTCCGAGAGTATTTATTTCCACTTAATGAAATTATTGGACTTCTTTTATAGACTTTGAATTTTTCTAATGGGTTTGCTGATATTCTTATCGATTTATAGAAGTTCTTTATATATTCTGGATACTTTTCTTTATTAGACATGTTACATTTTTTTTTCTCCCAGTGTTCTTTGCTTACTTTAGTGTATCTTTTGAAATTCATAAGCTATAACTTTAAATATAAGAAAGTTTATTTTTTCCCATTATTGATTTCACAGTCTGCATCTTGTTTAAGAAGGCCCTTCCCTATCACAGTCATAAAAGTATTCTTTTGTAACTTCTGTTGCCTTCATAGTATTCCTTCTCTCAATATAGAATTTTTATATTGTCCCCAAATCATTTATTGAACAGTCCATCCTCTTAGAACTACTTTGAAAGGCTAACTTTATTAGATACTATGTATCACTTAGAAATCTGTTTTTCAGGAGTCATTCTTTTGTTTCAGTGATCTGCTTTGTATGTTCTTCACCAATATCACAATATTTTGATTATTAGAATTTTGTGATGTGTTTTGACATGTACTAAATGAATTTATCATATTGCTCTTAGTCAAATTTTATGAAAAAATATTTTATAAATTTTTAATTAAATTTTTTAAATTAAATACTTTTTAAATTTTTTTATAATTATAATTGGGTTTACATTAAATTACAGATTAATTTGTAGAGAATTAACAACTTTGGAAAATTGTTTTCCCAACCAGGAACGTAATATATTTCCGCCCTTTATATTCTCTAGTTTTTTCCTAATATAGGTTTTTTTTCATTTGGCACTATATCAAACAGAAATAGAGTATAATGTATCAAACACCTATGACCAGCATTAAACTTTACTAGATCTTCACATTATGCCATATATTTCCTTCATATTATGATCACTTCTTAATAGTAAAACAAGAAAGAGATGAGAACTCCCTGTGTCTCCCAGATTCTTTTCTCCTCTCCTTCTCTTCTTCCCAGAGGTACCACAGTCTTGAATATTGTCAAGAGACATCTTTTTATTTGATAAATAGATACAATTTTATGTAATATTATAAGCCATACTTACTTTCCAGGGTTGTTATATACTGTGTAGACATTGTTGTGTTTTTAGGTGATTTATGGTGAGTATTCACAGATGAATTATACTGTATAGTTGAAACACTGATAGAAAAGCTGGTAGGTTGATTTTTTTAAGGTGTCTAGAATTCTGTGATTTCTGCCTGTGATTTTGTGATTGTTTCTTGTTTACTTGTATATATACCTGATAAGTTGAATGTAGTCCTTTTTAAATGTTTTTAAAAATTAAACTGATTTCTTAACCTCCCTGTGTTTCAAGATCAAATACACATTGACCATAGTTCCCTAAGAGGTTGTTGTGTTCAGCTCACTTGTTAGTACATAATGTTGGTTAGAGGTTACAGAGTGGTAAATGTCCTACTGCTATAAATGTACGATGTATTATGTCATTGTATTTCAGCCTGGTTCACAATATGCCGACAGTTCTTTTCTTGCATCATATTTGTGAAAACCTTTTAGATCTTCTTATATGTTCATATATTTCGGCTCCATATTCGAGAATAAAATACATGTGTGTATTTTTAGTTTTTGTCAGCTTTAGATCTTACTTGACTCTGTTTTAACTTCTCAGGTACTAATGTAAGTGATGAGGATTTTCTTCTGCTGGAGCTTTTACACTGGTTTAAGGAAGAATTTTTTCAATGGGTGAATGATATTTTGTGCAGCAAATGTGGTGGCCAGACTAAGTGTAGAGGTGAATCACTGTTCCCCAATGATGATGAGATGAAGTGGGGTGCAAACAGAATAGAAGATCATTACTGTGATGCATGCCAGTTCAGCAATCGATTCCCAAGGTGGGTGTCCACTGCACAGTAAAGTTGCAGTGCACTGCAAAGTAAAGTAAAGAGTGATCTCTTCATGGAATGGTTAGAAAAGAATTTTTATTAAATGAACTCTTCAATTATTAGAAATATATTCCTCTAGGACAGAGGTTGGCAAGCTGTGGCTAGCAGGCTAAATCCAGCCCACATCCTATTTTTATAAATCAAGTTTTACTGGAACACATTTATGCTGATTTGTGTACTTATGATCTGTAACTCTTTTTACATTCCAGTGGAAGGGTTGAATACTAGCAGCAGAGGCTATATGGCCTGCAAAGTCTAAAATAATTACTGCCTTTTTATAGAAAAGTTTGTTTATTCTTGCTCTGGAATATAAATTGAGTATAGTCTTAGCACATTTAATGATGTAAATCTGGTATTGTTCATTTAATTATATAACTTTTGACCTTCTGATAACTTTAATAATGATTGATAGCACATAAAAACAGCACTAGCAACATTAATAATAATGATAAATTGTGACAGCAAAGACAATGCTGTACTTAAAATAATCTTCATATGGTAAAATGGAAGGTAGAAGTGTAGTACCATCATATTACTTTCTTTTTAACAACAGAATTTTGTTTTTAATCAGGTGCCTCCCCTGCCCAACCTAACATATTCTCATTATCTAAATTTTAAACTAAAGAAGTTTGTACTTCTCAGTTAACTTTTTTCAGTTACTGTCAATTCACAAGCCTCTTATCAATTTTTTTTAAATGACAATACTTATAAATGTTGGCTGTATCATTGGTCAAGAAAAGATACCAAGTATTTGAAATACCTAATTTTTGGAGCTTAGGGACTCAGTTTTGTCCTAACTAGGAACCAACCCTCTGATATACATAATATAGAATATACAGAATCCAGTATCTAATAATACTGGATATATATACTAATAATATAAAATTAGTTCAAGTTATTTCTTCAGTCAGCATACATTTTACACAGGTACTTTGCAAATATTGGAAGGTAAAAAATATATATAATTAAATCTCTTTTCTAATAAACTTTCCTAGGCAGTTAGATATAAACTGATAATGCAGTGTGGAGGGGCACAGGCTAACAAAGATATTTACTGTTTTCCTTTCTACTTCTTTGCTTGTTTAACTGTTAGCTGGTCTATGTATATAGAGTTGGGATGATGAACACTGTCAATTCTAGGCTAAGCTGATCATTCAACTTGGCACAAGTAGTATATAGAAGAGGCATAGGGTGCTCTAATTTTGCCATTATTACTTTTTCATGTAAATTTACATCTTTTTTAATTACTTAACTACTTAAATTAAATTCATTTAATTTAGCTAGTTTAACCAACAGCATCTGCTTAACACAAACTTGTGTTAAGCTTAACATAAACTGTCGAGCCAGTTTATTAATGTAATGGTTTCCTTCCACAAGCTCATGGCCAACATCTCTGCTCAGCTAGGGCACATTTCTTGCTTAGCTTTATCAGCCGAGATCCTTCTCAACACAGTATGCAAAATTTGGTATTTTCCAATTTTATGATAATTTTGTAATTGGAGTACCTTTTTAAAACATTGTTGCAAACATCTTTCAAAAAACAATTTCCAAATTAGCAAGCACCTTTAAGTCACTAAGAAGGAAAACAGTTCAATCAAAAAGATCATTAGAGGGATGCCTGGGTGGCTCAGTCACTTAAGTGTTGGCTCAGGTCATGATCCCAGGGTCCTGGGATCGAGTTCTGAGTTGGCCTCCTTGCTTAGCAGGGAGCCTGCTTCTCCCTCTGCCTGCCACTCCCCCTGCTTGTGCACTCGCTCACTCTCTCACTGTCTCATTTTCACTCTTTCTGACAAATAAAATCTTAAAAAATCATTAGAAAATTAGTATTTTAAGTAGAATTGAGTTCCCTAAGTTTTTAAAATCTTTATTGAGTAGTTTAAGTTGTTTACCTTTTAAATGCATGAGCTAATTATACGACTTGTTAGAATAATACTGACGCTTTAAGCAGATTTCCTAGAGAATCTCTGCCTGTCCAGATCTAATCTGCCCTTCAAAGCCAGTTTAAATACAAGCTGTCCTCCCAACCACTCTCCCATAACACTCAGTCTGACCTATTGTATGGTTTTGTCACATTCTGCCATGTATTAGTTATTTGTGTTAATTTCTTCTTCCTGTAAGGCCTGTAAACTTGAAGGCTGTACCACTGTTTAATCATTTTTCACTAAAGCTTCTATTAACATAATGCCTCATATAGTCTAGGTTCTTTAATCACTATCTAAGAATGTGAAATGAAGCTAATGTAATATTAGATGTCAACTATATTTCAATTAAAAATAATTTTCAAAAATGTGAAATTAAGAAATATTACTGTTTAGCACAGAGGTAATATAAATTGTTTAAAATTCTTGCTTTTATTAATGAATCAAAGCTTTTTTATGGTTATTTTAAAACAGATATAATAACCCTGAGAAACTTTTGGAAACAAGATGTGGACGGTGTGGCGAGTGGGCCAATTGTTTTACACTGTGCTGCCGAGCCTTAGGGTTTGAAGCTCGCTATGTTTGGGATTACACAGGTACAGAACATGGTGTAAAGCAGAGTAGTAGGGCTATGCAGACTTCAGGATTGGGTTTATTGTCTGGGCTTATCATTTTCTGTTACTTTCTGGCCTCGTCATTTTGAGCTTCCATTTGCCTTCTTTTAAAATAACAATAATACCAGCCTCATAAGATTTTTGTGGGGATGTCAAGATTTTTGTAGTACACTTACCATTTTGCCAGGTACTTTAAACATGACACTACAGACATTCTTTTATAAACAATTTACTGTGACACTTGTAATAATGCTTTTTCTATATGAATAATAACGTGTAATATGCTCTAGAAATCTTCATTTTTTTGTAGGGATTAGTATAAAAGATGTAGTAATCTTAAACCTCAGTATACAAAAAAAATGTAATAAAAACCATGTGAAATTTATATTGTCCTTATTTAGAAATGACTCTTCTCATCTTCATTTTTAAAAATTGTTTCCCTTGTTCTCAGAATTTTACTTGTGTTTCCATTGTTTTTTAGGATAAAATGAAATCTTCACTTAAGAATTCCTGTTCTCTTACAGTCAAATATAGAACATCAATAACCAGAGATCCTTTGTTAGACCTCCTACTGGTTCTGGGTATTAAAGGGCAAAAGAGACTGCAGTTTCAAAAGTGGCATTAGCTCCTTCGTATCAGCAAAGACTGAGCCTGATGTTTTTGATGCTGTTGTTCAGTATGTTTGCCTTTTTAGAATTACAGCTCACATTATTTTTAATTAAGCTTAAAACTGACTGCATTAAAGGACATATTCCAAAAACATTTTCAAGGATTTCAAAGAGACAGAAAAATTAAAACAAGTATTCTAGAGTCTCGTGTGCCCCCAAATGCTCAGACCTATTAACTAAAATTTAAGACCTTTACAAATTCTGACCTGATCCTTAAGAGTTTGCGTACAGTTGTTGGGAATCATTCTGGTTTTAGAAACTTCACTTTCATTTCCTTTCTTTGTGTTGCTCTCTTGTCTCTTGAGTAGACCATGTCTGGACGGAAGTGTACTCTCCTTCTCAGCAGCGGTGGCTGCACTGTGACGCATGTGAAGATGTGTGTGATAAGCCGCTCCTTTATGAAATAGGGTGGGGCAAGAAGCTCTCCTATGTCATTGCATTTTCTAAGGATGAGGTACGGCAGAAGCAAAAAACATTTTTTCTAAGAATGAAATATAATTCCTTTTGGACAGCTTTTGAAGATATAGTTGACATACAATAAGCAGCTTATATTTAAAATGTATAATTTAATAAATTTTGTCATTTGTATGCACCCATGAAATTATCTTTGTAGTCAAGAGAGTGAACATACTCACTGTCCCTGGAAGTTATGTCCTTTCTTACCCCTCCTTCTTGCCCCTCTCTAGGCAACCATGCATCTGCTTTCTCTCATTATAGATTAATCTGCACTTCCAGAGTTTTATATAAAATGGAATCATACAGTGTATATTCTTTTTGGTGAGCATGGTCTGGTTTTTTTTACTCAGCATGATTATTTTGAGATTCATCCATGTTATTCTTACGTATCAATAATTTATTATTTTTGGGCACCTGGGTGGCTCAGTTGGTTAAGTGTCTGCTTTCGGGTCAGGTCATGATCTCAGGGTCCTGGGATCGAGCCCCGTGTCAGGCTTCCTGCTTAGCGGGGAGCCTGCTGCTCCCTCTCCCTTGCCCTCCCCAACTCGTGTTCTCTCTTGCTCACTCCACTCTCTTTCTCTCAAATAAATTTTTAAAAATCCTTAAAAAAATAATTTATTGTTTTTATTGCTGAGTATTCCATTGTATGCATGTACCATAGTTTGTTTATCCATTCACCTGTTGATGGGCATTTGGGTAATTTCCAGTTTTTTACTATTTCAAATAAAGCTGCTGTAAACACTTACGCACAAGTCTTTATATCGCCATATGCTGTCTTTTCTCTTTGGTAAATGCCTAGAAGTGGAATGACTGGATCATATGGTAGGTGTATGTTTAACTTTTTAAGAAACTGCTAAACTCTTTTCCAAAGTCATGTGCCATTTTACATTCTCACCAACAGTATGTGAGAGTTTCCAGTTTCTCTGTATCCTTGCTAACACTTAGTATGGTTATCTGTTTTTGTTTTTGTTTTTGTTTTAATTTTAGCCCTTTTAATAGATGTGAGGTGGTATCTCATTGTGGTTTTCATTTGCATTTCCCTAATGACAAATGATACTGAGTATCTTCTTACTGCTTATTTGCCATGCATAGCCCTCTTTGCCCATTTTTTTTTAATTGGGTTGTTCATTTTCTTATTGTTGAGTTTTGAGAATTCTTCATATATTCTGCATACAAGTCATTTTTCAGATAAATGCTTTGCGAAGATTTTCTCCTTGTCGGTGGTGTGTCTTTTCATTCTGTCAGTGACTTTTAGAGACAAAATTGATAATGTCCAGTTAATCAATTTGTTCTTTAGGGATTGTGCTTTTTTTATTTTTTAAATGAGGTATAGCAGACATATAGTTGCACATGTACAACATAATGAATGATTCAGTATTTGTATAGATGTGAAATGATGGGTTGTACTTTTTGATGTATCTAAGAATTTTTTGCCTCGCCCAAGCCACAATGATTTTATCCTGTGTTTTCTTTTAAAAGTTTATATACTTTCAGTTTTACATTGGGTTCTATCATCCATTTTGAGTTAATTTTTGTATATAGTCCACTGTGTGGGTTGAAATTCATTATTTTCCATTTGGATAACAAATTGTTCTAGCATCATTTGTTGAAAAGGTTGTCTTTTTTCCATTGAATTGTCTTTGTACCTTTGTCAAAAATCAGTTCTTTAATATAAATTTAATACAGTAAAAATGGAACAAGGTTTTATTTGTTTAATTTTATGTAATCAACTTTGTAAATAAGTTTTTAAAAGCTAAATGTTCTGGAAATCTCATTTTGTCACAGGCTTTCCTGAAAGTGTACCTGTTAGAAAATGAATAAAAAGTATATTCTTTTTTACTTTTTTTCATAGGTTTTAAAATTTAACAAATTAAACAAAAGATAGCATTTAAAAAAATCTATTTAAGAATTACATACATTCTAGGTAGTTAGCAAAAGGTTGATGGTTGTATTCTTGTTAAATACTGTATTCTGTAATTTGAGGTGGTTGATGTCACTTGGCGATATTCTTGTAAACATGACGAGGTAATCTCCAGAAGAACTGAGGTTAAAGAAGAATTACTTCGAGAAACTATTAATGGACTTAATAAGCAGGTATGAGCATTTGGCATTTTTGAAAAGATATTTGAAGTTTTTGATATAATCAGGAAAGGCCAGTTTTTAACCCATTGAAATTCTGAAAGTAGTAGTAGTATTTTGCAAGCAAAAATATTCTAATATGTTAAATGCTTTTTCATTGAAAATTTTAAGGACTTATTTTAAATATGTGGCTTTTTTGCATATTCACTTGTCATAACATCTCTTTCCAAAGTTTAGTGAAACAGAATTTCAGTGTATGTAATACTAGACATAAAAAGTATGTTTTTATTTTTCAAAGAAATTGTGTCTTGAATATAATTACACACATTTCTCCAAGGATGGAAATTTTTGAAAACAAGGCACAGGAAATTGTTAACAGTGACTACTTCTGAAGAGAGGAACTAGAGGTTGAAAAAGGAAGATTCAGTTTTTATTTTATGTCCCTTTGTTAGTATTGAAATTTTTTACTATTATATATGTGTGGGGGTTTTTTAATAATTTAAAAGCCAAACCACTAATTTTGCTTCTGGCAAGCAGTTAGAATAGGGCAGATCCACTTAGCCCCATGATTGAGTTTCAAGGTGAAGTTTCTTTCCATCTGTTTGGAATTTCACCTTCTAATGTGTAGCCCTTCAGAGAGCCTAACCTGAAAATCTGGAGTATTTACTAGAGCCTCTCACCTTGAAAGGCTTTGAACTCCAGCTTATTTACTCCACAGTACTGTGATTCTGTAAAAATTCTGTGTTCTTCAGCACGTGAGCCATCATTTCGTGGTTGCTTTCTCACTCTCTTTTACTCATACCAGTTAATAATTGGCAAATGCCTGGAAGGGAAAGAGGTGGAATATGTTCAGTTCACCACAATTCATTTCTTTCCTTGGGATCTTAGCTTCTTTAGCTCTGGTTACCTTGGTAGCTCTCTGTTGTATTTAAACAGGCGTTTGTACGTGTGTGTCTGCGTGTAATGTTTTGCCCAGCTTTTGTACCTTTTCTTGGTAGGACACTTGGTCTGGCACAAGCCAGTCTGTCATAGCTGGAAGCAGAAGTTGCTACCTCCATTTTAAAATCTAGGACAGTAAAGAAGAGTTGGATATGGATGTCAAATTATTTCTTTACATAAAATTTGTACAAATTATTTTAAGTTTTCCACAGTGTCTTATTTTCCAAATAACTATGTGTGAACAAAAAGTTGGTTATATCTTTCAAGATCCCATTAAAATACAAATGTTTTATGTATATTCCTCCTTAGAGGTGGACCTCTACTTTTCCCTCATCTTAATGACTTTTTTTAAAACATGAATTTCAGAGGCAAATATCTTTGTCAGAAAACAGAAGAAAAGAACTTCTCCAGAGGATAATTGTGGAACTTGTTGAATTTATATCTCCCAAAACCCCTAAACCTGGAGAACTTGGTGGAAGAATATCCGGGTCGGTGGCTTGGAGAGTAGCCCGAGGTGAAATGGGTCTAGAGGTACTTAATTCATTATAGTGTGATAATCTTCTTACTTCACTCTTTCCAATACTGTGCTCTTTGCTTACAGAAAAATGCAATGGCCATGACCTTTCTTTCTTTTTTTTTTTTTTTTTTTTAAGATCTTATTCATTTGACAGCATAAGCAAGGGGAGCTGCAGGTAGAGGGCGAGGGAGAAGCAGACTCCCTGCTGAGCAAGGAGCCCAATGTGGGGCTCGGTCACAGGACCCTGAGATCATGACCTGAGCCAAAGGCAGATGCTTAACTGACTGAGCCACCCAGGCACCCCAGGCCATGACCTTTCAATTAACTTTTTAGAGTAATTATTAAAAAACATAAACATTTGAAAGAACCAATAATTGATTGACATAGTATATTCACATGCAGGAGTTAGCAAGGCATTTTAAAATAGGATTTTCCTATGTAAATTTTCAGTGTCGTGTAACTATTACTGAAGTACATACAGAAAAATATACTAATTATAAGTGTACAGCTTAACAAATTTTCACAAATTGAGCACCCATGTAACCACCAACCAGAGTGAGAAATAGACCACCAGAATCTGAGGAACAACCATGAGTTCCCTTCCAGTCACTTCTGCCACCACTAAGAATAACCATTATCCTGGTTTCTAACATCATAGATTAATTTTGCCTGTTATCGTGCTTTATGTAAATGGAATTGTAACATACGTACTCTTGTAAATACTTTTTTCTCAATATTTTGTGAAATTCAGACTTGCTGCATGTTTATGGCACATTTATTCTCATTGCTGTATAATATTCCATTTTATAAATGCAATTTATCCATGCCACCATTGATAGGTATTTGGGCTGTTGCTAGGTTTTGACTGTTAAAAATCATACTGCTGTGGACATTTATATACATGCTTTAGGTGAATGTCTTTATGCATTTGAGTTAGGTATATACCTAGGAGTGGAATTGCTAGGTGATAGAGTAGGAGTTAGGAGTATGTTCAGCCTTGGTGGATACTGCCAAGAAAGCTTTACAGCTTTCCGGTTGGGCCATTTTACACTCTCACCAGCAGTGAATGTGAATTTTCCACATCCTCACCTGTAGTTGGTTTTGTCTTTTTCATTTTAGCAGCTCTGGTGGTATGTAGTAGTATGACATTGTGATTCTACTTTGCATTTTGGTGATGACTAATGAAGTTGAATGCCTATTCTTTAAATTTTTGGATATCCTCTTTTGGGAAATGCTTGTTCAAGTTTCTCAAAATAAGATTTTATACGTTTTAGAGAGCCGTGTTTACCTTTTTTCATATATATATGAAAATATATAAATATATATGTATATTTATATATATAAATTTATAAAGTACAGTGAGAAAAATAATAGAATCTGGATAATCCAGTGGATGAAAGTGTTTTTTCATATATATTTGCTATATACATCTGGTATTGGCTAGAAATTATCATTACTGGTGTGATTACTATTATACTGTCAAATTTATATTAAGACTATGTCTTGATTAATGTCCCAAAATTAAATAATGAACAATGGAAATAGGCCTATATTAGGGGCTAGGTGAAAAGCAATGTGCTCTGTAATGGACATTAAGAAAGTACAGCAGACCTGTCCGTTGCCCTTAGGGAACTTAAAGTTGACTCACTAGAAAGTGTTTTATATAAATGTCTAAGAAGATATGTAATGAAAAATGCTTAGAAGGAAAATAACCCACCACGGTATCATATCAAAATTCCAAAGAAATTAGGGTTTTATATCTCCTTTTTCTAAGTTTGCCATTGTTGCAACTCATTTCTCCAACAAAGGAATATGTCCAAAATGGATGAATTATCCCCAGTAAACTTTATGTTTGCTTTTTAATTTACTTTAGGAGGCAGTTGAAAGTGTTGGTTCAGCCACAGAATTACAAGATCTAAATTCAACAGATAATTCAAATCACTGCTGATGCAGTGCAAGTTACAAGTTTAAATCTAAATGAAGCCAGTTTAAAAGAGCTAATTTAATTCACAGCTGTGTTCAATTTAAATAAAACATCGATATTAGGTCTTCATTCTTTTTTCTTTTTATGGACGGATGTGCTTCCTCTTGTATGGCATGTAAGTTGATTAAACTTTAAAAATATGAATTGGGTCATATGCCCAGATTGTCTTCTCTTTTGAAATTTTTTTTTTAATTTCTCAGTTACTGGAGACCATTACAGACATGGATTTAAAAAATCATTTTCCTGGGCGCCTGGGTGGCTCAGTTGGTTAAGCGACTGCCTTCAGCTCAGGTCATGATCTTGGAGTCCCGGGATCTAGTCCCGCATCGGGCTCCCTGCTCGGCAGGGAGTCTGCTTCTCCCTCTGACTCTCTTCCCTCTCGTGCTCTCTATCTCTCATTCTCTCTCTCTCAAATAAATAAATAAAATCTTTTTAAAAAATCATTTTCCTTTTTAGAAGTAGATGTTTGTTTTAAAAATAAATTGAATAATGAAAAATGTCAGTCCTAAAAGTTATGGAACTGTACCTTGAAATCATTTGGAAAAGAAGGAAACATTGGGGATAATATTTCCAGAAAGAAAAATTTTATCTTAATCTTAGATTTAAAAGATTTTACAAGAGGCACCTGGCTGGCTCAGTCAGTTGAGCATACGACTCTTAGTTTCGGCTTAGGTCATGACCTCAGGGTCATGAGACGGAGCCCCACATAAGGCTCTGCACTCAGCACAGAGTCTGCTTGTCCCTCTCCCTCTGCTCCTCCCCCCACTCATTGCCCTCTCTATTAAATAAATAAACAAAATCTTAAAAAAATAAAAGATTCTATGAAATACTAGTTATTCTTGCTCCATTATTCATTTGCATATATGATTATGTTCAGTAGCATAAATATCTTTCTTTTCCCTTTGGTAATTAGTTATCCTTTGTAAATTAGTAAGTAATGCTACTTTTAAATTTTATTTCCATTTGGCTTATGTCAGCGCCCTAAAATATCTTTGATAAAGAAGAAAAGAACTGGGAAGTTTTGTTACATGCTTGTTTTGAAGTTATCATTCACAATTATAAGTCATTTTCTAAAAATAAGCTGCTTTTTTTTTCTTTACCTTTTTGACAGTAATATTCACAGGTTCTACTAGGGAATTATCTTTTTCATATATTTAGCGTTACTATTTTAATAATACCAACAGTGATGTATATACACAAACACTTTTTGTTTCTAAGATGTTTTATATTCTGCTTATTGATTCTTGTACATTTGAAGTTTTCATATTGTTTAATACCTAGTACCTAATGTTTAACAAAAAAGCATTGCCTGCTCTTTTGATTGATTAGCAAATACTGTGGCAAGACATTGACACAGACTAGAGCAGTGGTTCTCAATGGTGGGTGATTTTTGCCTTCCAGGGGATATTTGGCAGTGTCTGGTAAGACAGCCTGCAATGCACAGGGCAGCCCCTATAACACAATGCTACTATGCCCATGTCTAAAGGACAGGGGCCATTGTGTTAGTGGCACATAAAGACACAGGATAAATATATTATCTTTCTTAGACTTTAGATTCACTCAGTGATTTCAGGATTTCTGGGGATTTACATTACAACAAACATGAATTTATTTTGGGCTAGAATGTAAATTTTTCCTGGAATTTTAAGATAAAACATGACCTTTTGTAGTAATTTACACACGTGGAGAATTGTTTCAAACTATGTGTCCCAGGCACTCTCCTAGCTTAGGGTATCAGGAAAAGATACTAATGAAATGGCTTTAAGTTGAGGCCAGAAGGATGAGAAAGAATCAAGTATATGGAGAGTAGAAAGAATAGCATTCCAGACAGCGGGAACAGCATGTGTCAAGGTCCTGAGGTAGGAACTAGCTGGACCTTTTTGAGGAGCTGATGGAAGAGTAACATGAGATTGGTTGGAAAAGTAAGTGGGGAATAGATCATTTAGAGTCCTAGTAGCCATGGTAAAGGTTTGGAGTTTAAGTACAGTGGAAGTCATTGGAGTGAGTTAAGCAAAAAAGTGACATATCCCAATTTATCCCAATATCTAGAAAATCGCTTTCATTACCATGTGGAGCATGGATAGGAGAGGTAAGAGTTGATAGCTGGGAGTCAACTTGAGGAGACAATTGGAGTCCAATTTGGAGATGTTGGTGGTAGAAATGAAGAAAGAGAAGTGAATTTAGGTTGAACACAAATCACCAAAATATAAATCAGAGCTATACATAGTTTATACTTCTCATTTTCTGTTTAGTAATGGTTGGTGCTATATCCACATCATACTAATCCTATTTAACCTATAAAATATTTTCCAAATTTTTTAATGGCACCAACTCTTCATTTTCAAGCTGAAGGAAGCTCTTACCACTGTACATAGCAGTTCCTCATATATAGTCTTCCATTATTTTGAAAACTAATTCTGCTTTCTTTTTAAGAGAAAAGAAACCCTGTTCATCCCCTCTGAAAATGAGAAGATTTTGAAACAGCTCCACCTTTGTTATAATGTTGTGAAAGATAGTTACGTCCGAGTTTCAAATAATAATCAGACCATTTCTGGATGGGAGAATGGTGTGTGGAAAATGGAATCCATATTCAGAAAAGTTGAAACAGACTGGAACATGGTAATTTCATGCATGAAACTGTTTAAAAACTTTGTCATTGTTTAAACAAATGTAGATTATTTCAGTTGTGTATAATGTGAAAACTAATATATCAAAATTTTAGTGATCTTCAAACCTGTAAAAGAAAATCCTGCTTCCAACATTTGTTTAATCAAAAGTCCCTAAGAAATTTGTGCATTTGTATCAAGGAAAGCATCCATTTTCATCAAAGAGGCTGAACTTAATTCACTCATGGGGAAAATAAGTGTGTGACCAACTCATGACTAGTGTTTGCCTGAATATATAAAATATAGTGGTATTTAATTCCTTCACAGGTACTTATTGATTACCTACTAAATGCAGGCTACTGGGGACTCTAACATTCAATCTAAATTTAACATACTTTCATTTCATAAGAATGTAGATGATTGGGCACCTGGGTGGCTTAGTTGGTTGGGCAGCTGCCTTCGGCTCAGGTCGTGATCCTGGAGTCCCTGGATCGAGTCCCGCATCGGGCTCCCTGCTTGGTGGGGAGTCTGCTTCGCCCTCTGGCCATCCCCCCTCTCATGTGCTCTCTCTCTCTCATTCTCTCTCTCAAATAAATAAATCTTTAAAAAAAAAAAAAGAATGTGGATGATTAAACAGCAATATTGGTTATTTCTTCTCCGTGCCCTAAAGAATAAAGGAATGGATGCTAGGACTATAGTAGTTTACTTACACCAACCTGCGCTGTCGGCACAGGTTATCTGTTACAAGTAAGAAGCTTTGCCTTTAAACTGCCCTCCCCTTAGATATGCACCAGAAATGAACACAGAACTATTCACATGACCTCAGTAGATCGAGCCATGCTATTGATAGATTTTCATAGGAGTTAATCAGCTTATAGGGAGCTTTTAAAGTTTGAGTGGGAAGGGAAGTTTCTCATTTGTAAGACACATTGGCTAGATTTTAAAAGTAAGTCACGGGTTAACAGCTGCTAGTGTTTATGCTTATCACTGTTCTAGGCATTAGTCAGAATACAGAAGACATACAGAGATAAGATCCTTGCCTTTTTTTTTTCCAGTCATATGTTTTTGTTCTGAAATTTACCTTGGTGCTTATATTGATGATCTTTTTGTATTAAACTAAGAATAGCTTACAACATTATTAAAATTGTAGGTTTAGGAATTTTCTTCTTGAGTTGAACATAAAAAATAGAGCAAGATCAAATTGAAAATTTTAAGATGTGTATATCTGTAATTGATTATATTGTTGATGAGAGAGGATGAACTTCTCTGGAAGACTATCCTTAGCCTAAAGATTCTTCTGAACAGAAAGCAGGATGGGATAGACATGTTATTTATCCAAGGACTAAGCTATCCTTGTGGAACTGAAGAAAGAGTATGCCTTTCTTCCTTACCAGCAGTGTTAATGGAGAAAGTTAATGGAGAAAATAATGACTTTCTGAAGAAGATGTGGTGTGGTGAGAAACAGGTCGATTCTTTGGGATAGTTCTTCTCTGCCTTACTCATTTGTTCATCAGCAAACATTTACTGAATGCCTGTTATGTCAGGCGTTGTTCTCAGCGACATGGATAAAAAGATAAAGATACGGTTTCTGCCCTCACAATCTAACAGGGGAAGCTGAAGCATAAACAGCCGTCTTACCCACGATGCAGAGTGCTATAATAAGGATATCAACACATTGCTATGGAAACACCAAGGAGGGAGTAATTAGCTCCGGCTGTGGGAGTTGGGGAAAGCTCCGCAGAGCAGGCAACATTTGAGCTGGACGCTGAAGGATGAGTAGGTGTTCATAAAGCAAGGGAACAGTAGGGGAAAAGCATGCAGTACATGGCATGTTTTGGAGTTCTCTAAATAGACCATTGTGGCCAGACGGTATATTTATGAGTAAGATTTAAATAATGTAAATGAGATGCAGAGGCCATTAAGTAAAAAACAGGCTCCCACTCAAAGTTTATGCCTTGATATATGTGTACAAAGGACATCACTTTTAGAAGTTGAATGACTCAAGTTATAATATGAAGAAAATATTAGAATCTTAATTACACTTACAGAGTCTAGTAACTCAGAAGTAATATATTGCCATTGAAACATTGAATTTTCCACCTAAGTCAGTATTTTTAGTTTTGTATTAGCATGTTCCCATTTAGGGATTCTCTAGCTCCACTAAATAGAAGAAGCCTATTCCCCACCACACCTTTCCTCAGTAACCTCCAGCCTGGAATCATGACAGATCACATGCAGTCTGCCCTCAGATATTTAGAACAGATTCTTACCCTCTCAAAGAGTTACCCTCCCAGGAACAGGGAGACTTACTAAATGTTACTATTTGGCAAATACACTGTTCAGTGATGTCTTATTTGGAAAGAATATAAAAAGCTGAATCAAGAAGACCAATACATCTTTTAGGAGGCAAATGACAACACCTTGATAAAAGTGTTAATAGCCTCCTAATTAGTCTTCAGGCATCTCACAGTTGTTTTCCATGCTGTTAAGCCAGAAAAGCATTTTCCAAACCCCAGTCATTACTGAGTGCTCATAGGGTAAGAAATAAGTCTCTTCTGAGTCTGGCCTCTGCCTTCTTCTCTGGCCTTGCCTTGCACAATGCTACCCCCTTGCTCTACATTACAGCGGCACTGCCCTTCTTCCTTCTGTACAGAACCTTTGTGTTAGATTCACTTATTCCTTTGCTTGGAACTTGGTGTAAGCCTCACTCCCTCTAGTCCCAGCTAACTGGATCCATTTCCCCCTTTATTTATTCACCGTACATGTACCTCTTCTTCACGACATTTATTTAACAAATTTGTGTAAGAATAGATTGTCCTACTGGAATTGTAAGCATTCTCAAAAGGCTTTGTCTTTTTTTACTCACTTGTACTCTCAGTATGCATATGTCTAGCATAGTGCCTGATAAATGTTTAGTAAAGATTGCTGAATGTAAGAAAGAATGAATGCATGTGGCATAAATTCTACACCACCCTCAGACTGTATAGAGTGTCAAAGATACTCTCTCTTCATTCAGACTATCCCTTGGCATGTTCTTAAGTACTTTTTGCAAAGTGTCATCTTTGTCACTAGAGTCACTTTAGCACTTTTTGGTGCATGGTATTATGTCAAGAATTGATTCATTTAGTCATTCGGTAAACATGCATTGTCAGACATTGTGCTTGACCCTTAGGATGTAATGATAAATTAGGAGTCAAGCCTCAAGGTGAGCATAGACTACTGGAGGAGAAAGACATGTGGACCAGTTGTTCAGATTAGTGAAATAAGTGCTAGAAAAATATGGGTCTGTACATGACTCTAAGGGAAAGAAGACAGAATGAAGAACCACTATCCCTTCTTGAGTCCGAGATGATGACCTTGCAGAAGAAGTAATACCTGAATAGGCTTTTGGAGAAGGAAGCAGGAGAGTTTCTCAGTGTGGAGATAGGCTATAGAAGAAGGGAGCAGGAGATACAGCATGTGCAAAAGCACTGGGGTGAGAAACGTCTGGTATATTTAGGGAAGAGGATGTAGTAGGAAATAATGGGGAAGAGTGGGAAATGAGACGAGGGGCGAACAGTGGTCAGGTCCCAAGGACTCTGATTACCTTGCAGTTATGTAACAGGAAACCATGAAAGATTTCAGGCAAGGGAAGGACATGATCACATTTATGATCCAGAGGTAATTACAGAGGCTACAAATAGAAAAAATAAGCGTAATAGAGAAAGATGTAAATACAGTGGGGACTGACAGTGATTTATGTTTGATTTCAGTGATAAAATGAAATAACCACAAAGAATCATGAGCAATACCAATTTACTAGCATTAAATTAAAATCTATTGAAATGCAGTTCTGCTAGATATGTGTAGGAATATGTGTCTGTTGTACAGTAAACTTAATTTTTTTTTTAACTAGAGTTAATCTTAACAGGCTAAGCAGAAAAATCATTTTAAGAGCAGAGCAAAGAACAGCTTCAACAGTGCAGTACAAACCAAACCTCCAGAAAACCATAGCAGTAGACAGAACAGCCTGGCATATGGTAATCAGAAAATCTTTAAGTAAGGATCTTCTGTAGAATGTGAAAAACATAAAGCATAAAGAAGCTCACATGCATATTGTTCTCAGTCTTGAAAATAGTGGTCACAGCCATAACCCAAAGGATAAGTTTCCATTGTGTGCATTGTTAGTGGCATAGCTGAGACCTTAAGCCATACACAGACTGGTCTCATTGTCACCCACAGATTGTGATCTGCCTGTACTGTATGCCTTACAGTTGCCAAAAAAAGGGGAGGGATGGGTCACTAGAGGGAGGGTGTGGGGTGCTGTATAGATTTCAAGTCTGTAGGGGGTAAACTCCATGACTTCTGATTTTACTCTTCCTGCTACTAAAGTAAGGTAGCTCTTGGTAGTCCCCGAAACTGCAAGACCAAACATGTAGAACTGCACACAGTAAATGGCACCAATGAATTAAAAAGCCGACAGCCAAAAATTTGCCTAAGATAACCCAAGAAGTAAGGAACATCCAATAGTTTAAAAAAAAAAAATTCTTTCTCTACTTTCTCTAGACCAAACAATTGAATATTTGAAAGTTTATAAAGTACTTTTTTTCTCCTAAATAAATTATAATTACTGGTTCTGTTGCTATTACACATAGAAAGGACTCCAGTTGGGTATTTGTATAAATCTTACTGTTTGGGCACATTTCAGTTATCAAACTGAGTATACATATTCTTGATAACTTCTACCTCCAAAAATGCTGAGTGAAAATTAGTTGGTTAAAATGGTAGACAGAATATATTGTGAGAAAAAGATGACATGAATTTTCAATATCAGTAGAGTCTTTTATTTCCATACACTGTTTCTTTAGCCTAAGAGACCTTTTATTTGTTCACAATGTGTTTGTTTAAGCATTTAAGAATTCCATGATGAATTCTAGCCTATCCTTTAACTTTTTAGAGTCTTAAAAACTGATGCCCTTACAACTGAAAAATGTAAATTTTAGAACAAGCAATTGTCTCAGACATGTTCAACAGCTATTATAAACCTTCTTATGACAGTTAAAACCACAGCTGTGGCCCAGACCCGTGTGGTATATAACTAAGACAATTCTGGGGGTAAGCTAGGAATTTGAAATTAACCTGACTTCAATCTGTCATATTTTATGCCCACACCTTTGGGGGGAGGGGATCATTTGAAACTACTGAACTCTAAAAAAGTTACAAGACGTAAAAAAGTATATACTGAGACATAAATCTGAGTGTATTTGTCTTAAGATTACTTTTCCCAGTCTTTTAATTTCTTCCAACCACCTTTCTTCCAATAACCCTACTGTTTGGCTCGCCTTTTCCAGTTAATCCCCTTTACTAGGCATGGCTTTGATATAGTAGTTAAATTACAGATAATCCACAGATGGCCAGTAGTTTAGGGTAGATGGAACCAGTGACTCCCAGGGAGCACTGGTCAGTCCTCAGCCCCAGGTGTAGGAGAAACACTGCAGTAGGAATATGTGGGCATTAGAGGAGTTTATAGTGAAATTGCCCTAAACTTGAGTGGAGCAGTCAGCACTTCCATACATCTAGATGTGCCATACAGTGCAATCTAGTCTAGAGAGTTCAAATCATTTTCCTTGGGGAGTGATTGTTTTTAGTTATTGATAACCTCCAGCTCACTGATTCTAAAAACTTTCCAATTAAATTAGCTGACATATTTAACCTGGAAGAAAAACTATAGGTTGTGAAATAGAATAGAATATCAATAGAATGCTAGCAGCGATTGATTTTTTTACTTGATGACTAAAAACAGGTAGTAGGACATTTCCATGGCGGATGTATCATATGGTACTTCTATTTGTCCCAAGAAGTAAGAGGTTTCTAAAAGAATATGTGTGTATGCAGACTTTTCATACTTAAATGCTATTTATTAAACCCATATGAATCCAGAGCCTCTGCCCCCAGAAAACTTATGATTTGATTAAGATCATACTAAGTATACACCTGATAGAAGTTACATTTGGGTAAAGAATTTTTGGCAGTTCACAGTGGGGTGAAATTCTGGAGCACTGTGAAAGCTGAGAGTTTGGATTTAAAGCTCGAGCCAGTTGCTTGCTGTACATTCTAGACCATGCAAATGATAAGAAGGAAGTGGGCTTTTAAAAACATTAATTAGGCAGTTGGAGAGAGATGAGCATAAAGTCATGACTATAGTGGTAAGTGTGGTATAAATGAGGAAAGGGTTTTTTTTGAGATTTATTTCAAAGAAATGCATGAGTTATTGTGTGAATTTGAGCATCAGGGATAAGTGATTAAAGAGACAAATTTTTAGGGGTTTGGGCCTGGGTGAATGGAATTACCTGTGAAAGACCAAGGCTGTGGATGTCAATGTTCACGTCCACATCTTCAAGAATGTACTTGAAACTATGAGAGGAGATGAGCTGGAAGCAGCCAGTAAACTTGGATGCCTTAAATAGTATACATTTAAAGTGGTAAGAGTCACTGATAATGAAGGAATGGGAGCATACTATGTAGAGAGGCAGCATGAATACTACATATTAAACCATTACTTAACAATGACTGAGTTATTTTCTTGACTTAGGTAGATGGCCCATCTCGCTCTAGGAAAGCTTATCTGAAAATCCAGACTTAGAAAAGAAGATAAAGAATAATTGCATTTAAGAGGATTCCTCATTTTCAGCAAGGACCCATCATAAAGCTCATGTTAAATAGCTAGACTTAACTAATTTAAAAGAAAATATGATTTACTAAAATTTGGTTAACATCTACCTCTTAGGGCTGTATTTCTTGGGGCACCTGTATCCAAGTATCTTTCTTCCAGAGCAAAATACACTATAGGAAAAATTGCTGATGAAATGCAAAATGTTAACAGTGAAAATCTTCTCAGTGGAGAAGAAATTAGGTTTTTAGTAATCATTTGTATATAGTACCCTATGACAGTAAGACTTTGACTATATGTGTTTTCTGCACTGTTTTATTATTTATGACAATTCTTTGTTCTCCTCCTCCTTTGTAGGTATATTTAGCCCGAAGGGAAGGATCATCTTATGCTTATATATCCTGGAAGTTTGAGTGTGGGTCAGTTGGCCTAAAAGTAGATAGCATTTCCATTAGAACAAGTAGTCAAACCTTTCAGACTGGAACAATACAGTGGAAATTGCGATCTGAAACAGCCCAAGTAGAACTGTCAGGCGGTAAGCATTTGACTGGAGAATTAATCATGATGAGTATATTTAACACTCTGAAAAATAATTGCACTTATTTGGGCTTTTCATACCCAAGAGTCATTCATACTACTGCGCAAAAAAAGTAAATAAAATTAAAACTTGTATAACCTCATTCTAATAGAACTGTTTGTGTTTTTTATTGTGAAACACAAATGAAGAAAAGCCATTTCTTTGTTTCAAAGGACATATTTCCTCTATAAGGAAAAATTTATATTTATTTTTTAAGGGTTGATTGTACCTACAGGTTAGGTATAAAATATGTATTCCAAAACTATTTCTTTATATTCTTTAAGTTACTAAAAGCAAAGTGTTAATTTTTTTTTTTTCCTCCAACAGATAAAACTCTCCGCTCCTATCATGATTTTTCTGGTGCCACTGAAGTTATTTTGGAAGCAAAATTAAGCAGAGGAGATGGTGTTGTTGCTTGGCAACATACCCAGCTGTTTAGACAAAGCTTAAATGACCATGAAGAAAATTGTTTGGAGATAATTATAAAATTCAGTGACCTTTGAGAACCTGAACATTATAGAAAAGCTGGCAATAATCAAGGACTTACCATGTTCTAAAGTAGTCTGTTGGTTCAGTTCAGTGCATGCGTAGTTGGCAATTTACTACCCTCTGCTAGCGTATTTCTTTTGCTAGCTATCTATCATGTACCCCTCATGAAAATATATCTTTATACTATGGACCATAATGAAACCTTGAATTAAAAGCTCCCTTCCATATGTGACTGTAATTTGAAGTAAAGTCTTATTGCCTCAATATGAGATTTTAATCTAAAAACTCTTAAGTATAGTTTTAAAAGTAAAATGAAGGTATTCATGATGAAATGCTATTCGTGATTATGATATAATCTTAAGCTAAGAGTAGTTATATGACATTTTTGATCAGCCATTAATTTCTTCGTAAGTAATTAGATTTCCTAAGATTTTTAATAAGTGTGAAAGTATAGTATCTCATAAGTTATAATGCATGAACATTTTTATGATTGTAAATACATAGGCATTTAAGAAATAAAATGAATTATTTTGCCTTATATCATTTTAGTGTTTACTTTGGCTAAATAAGAATCTTTAATAAGTATGCTAAACATTGAAAATTGTTGGAATAGACGAGTTATGAAAACATTTATTGCGTATGTTCAGAAATACATTATAAATCCATGTGTGGACGTTTCAGAATATGCTTTACTTTTGAGTTTACTTTTGAGTATTTCTATCTACCTCATTGAATAAAGATCTGTTCCTGTCTTTGAAACTGTGTAACTAGATTGTACAGTATATGTTAAGAGTTTTTGGTATATCCATATAACCTCACCAACTGAATTTAGTGAACATTTATTAAGCGTTTGTGTGCAAGCATTGTGATAGCACCGAAGGAGGCAGAGGAGAGAAGGACACAGCTCCTGTACTCTCACTCTTTGTGATGTTCTGCAGTGAGCTCTCAACTCTTCATACAATAAAAGTACATTCTCAGAGATTCTCACCCTGTGCGACTCAGTAGAACATTCGTGTGCATTATTAAAAAATGCACTAAGATCCTGAACAAAGGTCTTATATTTGCTTTTTTCTTTGTAGTCAAACTGTTGAGGATCAGTTTCTTTCTAAAAAGTTACATTTCAAGAAAATGTTCATGCCTCTAAAGGTAGGAGTCTTGAATATTAAAAAATTTTCTGGAATTCTCCTGAGTGGATCATCGCTTCATATGTGGCCAAATACATAAAATTGGAGAGCCTTGACTCTTTACCTGTCTTGAGGTGTCTGGTACTGGCACATGAGTATTGTGATGAGCAGGTGGCCCAACCTTCCTATCCCTCATGAGAAAACCGAGAGATTGGCAAGCATAAAGATGTAAGAAAAATGTCAGTCTCGACTGAATGTCCCTCAGCTGTGAAAAGAGTACATTCTAATTTTTACTATGGCTGTAAGCAGAAAAATGATTCAAGTTCAAATGTCTTATTTTTATAGAGATGAAATGTTGAAGAGGAAAAGTAGTTGCACACTTTTAAATGTATTCCATGAGAGTCTCAACCCCTAGGGTACCCAGTACATAATAATATTTTATTATACAGAAAATATTGGCAATAGTACAGAAGTTACAGAGCAAAACAATTCTCGGTAACATATAAAGAAAGCTAAGTGACGGTAAACTGGTAAGGCCAAAGGAACAGGCAAAGAGGGGCTGATCGGGCAGACCCCCCTCACAGTGGCACTAATATCAGAGCTCAGCTTATGTAGCAGTCCTTTAGGATCTTCTCACTTAGGAGTACATGGTGCCTTGTGCCTAGAGTGAATGCCAGAGCACTGAGGGCGTAACTGCACCACCTTCTGGAAACAGGCTCTGTCTGGTTGAGCAGCTTTCTACTGCCGTTGCTCATTGTTCCAAAAAGGCTTTCTACTCTGGCTTCAGGTCAAGTCCCATCATGATAGTTTTACAGTCTGCTTTTGGTTACAGTGAGTTTGGGTGGAGGGCGGTTTAAAAAAGTACTTGTGCTGGAATTCACATTCTCAAGATGAACAAGAAGCTACAACTGAGAAAATTGTGAGTTTTATCAGTTTACAAGGAAAAGTGCCTCACGTTAAAGGAGGGTTAGAGCACGGTTTATCGTGGACTTTTGGAATAGGAAAGGTTGTTGGTGATCATCTCACCCAGACTTCTCACTTTTCACTGAGGAAACTCAAACCCAGAGAAGTTAAATGACCTGTCTAAACAATGAGTTGCTGTTTTAGTGGGTGTTTCACGAATATAGATACTTCGATAGGAATGTTCAAGTTGAGATGTTAAAACTGATATTAGAATCAGTGATTTTTCTACCTATAAGCTTTCCTGGAGAACAAATTTATTGTAATTTGATGACAGATTGTTCTAGATATGGATGCTTTGGTGTTTGAAAATTTTTTTAATAATTTTTTTCCTCTGTAACAATAAATTGTATGTTGATTTTATAGTCCAAGTGAATATGCTCTTCTAAGCTAATAACTGACTCAGGTGACATTCCTTCCTTAAACACTCTTGGGGGAAAGAGAATAAGAATAAACCAACACAAGTCATGATTGGTTTTATTCCACTTAGCGTGTATTACCGTCACATTTTTATATGGCCCAAAACAGTGCTTTATTCCTGATAAGAGATTTAGAATGGACCTAAACTAATAATGGTCACCTTTGTAGTGTCTAATGAGTGCCCATGACTTCAGTGTCTCATTCGATCATAGTGGCATCGTTTGCTAGGCCTAGTGACATTGTATGTATTTTGAAACTGAGAGGCTAAGAGGAGCCAGCAGCATTTTAATGTCATTCCCTATCATTACAACACCACAATGAATACAGACTTAGAAGGTGAGACCTTGCTCTCTTAATTTTCTAAAGACTTGCTCCGACAGCAACACAATTGCAGCAGCAACTAGAAATCTACAAGTGAGCCAGAAAGGGCCTCTGAAGAGCTAAAATAAGTATCATAAAGTCTAACCACTGAAGCCCATATTCTTTATTGGGAGAGAGCATTTTGGGTTGTCAAAGTCTGTTATTTACTGATTTTAAATGTTTAAATTGTTAAAGCCGTTTTTGTTAAAAAAAATTCAAAAAAGACAATAAAGTAAAAGTGCTCCCCACACTACACCATTTACAGAAGTCACTGCCAAAAATGTTTACATGTGTTTTTCCAGAGCTTTCCTGGAGATTTTTGTATTCATACATGTACACATACACACAAAATCAGTTTTCATGTATTGGGTCTTTGTCTTTTTATGTAAGTAGAAGTGTATTTTCTTTGCTTGTGTTCTTAACAACATGTCTAAAGAAATCTTTACATGGTTGGCCATAGATCTGCCACATTCTTCTTAACTCCTTTATTCCCTTATTTACAGATATTTAAGTTTTTCCCTTTTTTGTTATTTCAAACACTGCAGTGAACCTATTTCTTTCACACAGAATATATGCAAAGATATGTGCATTTTTAATCTTAACCTATCTACCGTTCCATCATTTTCTAAAGGAGGTACATCAATTTACACACTTCACTGAGAGTGCTTGAGAGCACCCATTTCCTCCCATTCTTGCCAAAACCACGTACTGCAGTTGTGGTAGCCAACTCTCAATGAGCCTTGCCTCCATGTGTTTGTGTTGTCCCTTGCACGCTAAATTAGAGCTGGCCTGTGTGCCCAATAGAATATGGTAAAAGTGACCATGTGGGATTTCTGAGGCTTTATCATAAACAACCTTGCTTGCTAATATTGCTTACTCTGGAGGAAATCCATTGCCATGCCCTAACGCCACTCTATGGGGAGGACCAGAGGCTCCCTCCAACCTCTAGCACCAACCTTCCAGCTGTAGAAGTGGATTCTCCAGCCTTCAGTGACTAGCTTCATGAGAATGAGATGCCTCGAGATGGAAATGCCAACCCAACCACTACTGAATTCCTAATGCCCAGAAAACCATTATAGCTAATTGATTTTTATAAAAAGACACTTTGGGAGTGATTTGTTTATACAGCATTAGATTACTGTTATGGACTAAGTATTTGTGTCCCCCCTCTCCACTCCCCCTACCAAGGCCTATGTTGAAATCCTAAGCCCCAATGTGGTAGTATTAGCTGGGGAGGCCTTTGGGAAATAGGTTATGAAAGTGGAGCCCTCATGAATGGGATGAGTGCCCCTAAGAGCGCTTGCTGCTTCTCTCTGCTTCCCACCCTGTGAGGACACAAGAGGTCTATCTATAAACCCAGAAGAGGGGAGGGCCTTCACCCAGAACCCAACCCGATTTCAGACTTCCAGCTTCCACAATTGTGAGAAATAAAGGTTTGTTGGTTAACCCTCTTGGTCTATGGTAATTTGTTATTGCAGCCTAAACTAAGACAATTAGTAAAACAGCAATGTTGTATTTGCCCATCTCATGGATGAAAAATATCTAGTTTTAAGTTACATTTCCTTGATTAGTTGTGAGGTTAAACAATTTTTCACGTGTTTATTAGCCATTTTTGTTTCTTAAGTTTTCTATATACAGGCATACCTTGTTTCATTGCACTCTATTATGCTTTGCAGACATTGCATTTTTTACAAACTGAAGGTTTGTGGCAACCTTGCTTCCAGCAAGTCCATCAGCACCATTTTTCAACAGCATTTGCTCACTTTGTGTCTCTGTGTCACCTTTAAGTAATCCTGGCAATGTTTCAAGCTTTTTCATTATATTTGTTACGGTGATCTGTGATCAAGATCTTTGATGTTACTGTTGTAATTATTTTGGGGTGCTATGAATGGCACCCGTAGAGAAGACAGCAACCTAACAAATGTGTGTGTTCTGACTGCTCTACCAACCAGCTGTTCCCTTGCCTCTCCCTCTTCTTGGGCCTCCCTGTCCCCTGAAACACAATATTGAAATTAGGCCAATGAATAACCCTGCAACGGCCTCTGAGGTGTTCATGTGAAAGGAAAAGGTGCACGTCTCTCACCTTAAATCAAAAGCTAAAAATGATTCAGCTTAGTGAGGAAGGCATGTCAAAAGCAAGGATGGGCCAAAAGCTTGGCCTCTTATACCAAACAGCCAAGTTGTGAATGCAAAGAAAATTTCTTGAAGGAAATTAAAAATTCTAATGAACACACAAATAATAAGAAAGCAAAACAACCTTGTTGCTGATATGCAGAAAGTCTGACTGGTCTGGATAGAAAATCAAAGCAGCCACACATTCCTTTAAGCCGACGTCTAATCCAGAGCAAGTCCTAGCTCTCTTCAATTCTGTGAA